CTTTTATATGCACTTGGCGTATGTTTTTTTCTTTTTTTTAAAAAAGGTTTTTTTATGGGATTACAGATGTCTGGCCAATATTATGTCGTTCGTTGGACTTAAAGGATAGCAGACCATTTGTAGTAGGGTTTTTTGTTGGCACTGGCAAACCTGATCCTCTTGAGGACTATCTACATTCATTTATAGAAGAGACTTTGCAGTTACTCAATGATACCTTAACTGTTGGTGAAAGTAAGCATGAGGTTTATATTAGGTGTTTTATATGTGATGCACCTGCTAGGCAATATATTAAACGTATTGTGGGACATGCATCTTATAATGCTTGTGAAAGGTGTAAGCAATCAGGGGATTATCATTTTAACAGAATGTGCTATGCTACCAGAATTATTGAGTCTAGATCAGACGAGGACTTTATCCATTATTCTGATCCAGAGCATCATGTTGGAGTTTCACCTCTCCTAAGATTAAATTTAAAAATGGTTTCTCAGTTTGTTCTTGATCCATTTCATTTAGTTCTTGAAGGTGTAATGAAAAGATACTTAATGTTTGTTTTAAAAGGAACAAAATCAGGAATGCGATTGAGAAGTGAAAGCATTCTTGAGATTTCTCGGAGGCTAATAGAATTACGACAGTACGTTCCAATGGAATTTGCTCGCAAACCAGTTGGACTAGAGCAGTTAGGGAAATGGAAGGGAACTCAGTTGAGGTTTTTCCTACTCTATGGGGGGTGTGTAGTACTGAAAGACGTTGTGGCTGAAATTCTCTATAAATTATTCATAATGCTTCAAATAGCAATTATAATATTCTCTGTACAGAAACTTATCGATGATGAAAATTATTTTTTATTTGCAAAAGATCTGATAGCTCAATTTGTCATCTTATCTTCTAATAAAGACGTATTTGGAAAAAAATTTTGTGTTTACAATGTTCATGGATTGTTACATCTGTATGAGGATGTAAAAAAGTATGGAGAAATATCAAGCATAAGTGCATTCCCATTTGAAAGCTTTTTAGGAATATTCAAACAGATGCTAAGATCTCTAACTAAGCCAATAAAACAACTGTTCCGCAGGTTAGCTGAAAGAAATTTTTTAGATAATTTCTGTGAGAGGACAATTGATTTTCAGTCTCATCTAAGACCTAAGAATCCTATACATGGTACTAACAATTATAAGATACTAACATCATCTCTCTTCACTTTAAGTTCAGTTCACAGGCGAGATAGCTATTTCCAGTACAAAGAAAGTGTTGCCTCTGTTTGCTCTATCCAGAAATTGGAAAATGGTGACGTTGTGATTATTGCCAACATTTGTGATACAAAGACAAATTTTTTTGATTATCCATGCAAGTCTAGTTACTTTGGAATTTATAATCTTGGTTGTATGAAGTGGACTCAAACAAATGTTATTATCCCAATTAATGCTGTAACAACCAAGTATGTTGTCTTTCCTTACAAAAATGATAACATTGCTATACCATTATTGCATTCATTTTAAATAAAGTTATAGATCATGTTATCTATTTATCTCTCTGTCTATCTTTACCTATCTCTTTATTTGACTTTATTTTTTTGTTTATATATCTATCTATTTATCTATCTATGTATGAAGTAAATATATATTTCTTTTTTGGCTCGGTTCAAAATAATGGTTTCTTTTTACAGAGAATAGAATGAGCTAAAACTTGATTAATTTCATGTAAAAAATTGTGAAGCCTTTAAATAGTAGTAAACATGATCAGAAATTTGACTATGATTAGAAAACTATTTGGTTGAGTCTTTTTCCAGAATCCTTAGTGTTTTGATAACAGTTCTTTTAACTGATTCTGTATCTTATGTGCATTTAAAAGGTTTCGTTTATTTGCTGAGCAATTGTAACAAGCAAAACTTTGTGGCTCTTCTCGCAGTTAAGGTCTCCGAGAGTTCAATAACGGAATTCTCTAATGTTCTTATCAACTATTGCTATTATAACTAAACAACGCCAATGATAAGGACGATCCTAAAAAAAAGTATTTTCATTGGCTGTCGCTAATTAATCCCGCTACTGAAGTCAGTGAATAAATCTAAATGTGAAAGTTTCATCTTTAAGTTACATGCTTGCATCTAATTATATGCATAGTCTCTTTCTCTCTCTCTCTCTCTGTCTCTCTCTCAACATTGACTTGGAAGATACTTATCTTCGAGGAGGTTACTTGAGATTTCTAATGTATATACAATGGCCTGGTGTTGTGTAATTTGCTGTTACTTTATAGCTCTACTCTTTTCTCCTCCTTTTAGTTGTGTGACACTGTTTTGCTGTATGAACACTGACATGTAATTATCTTCCTATTAGAGTGCCTCATATGAAAACCAATTACGCAGAAGAATAATACCTTATCATATGAAGTTGTAATGTTACAGATAAAATCATAGTTTTGTAGACCCGGATTGCACTACTAAAATTACATTTTTTTCCTTTTATTACATTTGTTTTGTTTTCTGTAATTGTATGATTCTAACTTCTATTTCAGCTTTATATTTTGTAATTGATTGAAATGCTTGAAATTCTTATTAGGGTAAACTAGGGTATTATGACCATACGGATAAGATGACCATAGGTTATAATTTTTTTAATCGTTAAGTAGAGCGTTTTTGTGGTCGTTCTGAAAAACTATGGTCATCTTATCCGTATGGCCATCTTATCCGTATGACCATCTTACCCTAGTTTACCCTATTTGATACGCAGATAAGATATCTCATATATTACATTTTTCTACGATAAAAATAATATCGAATTGCCAGTTGCATCGCTTAATATTTTTGTTGTTTTATATAGCTTTTTTCTGCTCTTTTGGATAATGCTGTTTTATATTTAATTAAATACTTTTAATTATGATGCACACACTAAATATTTTTTTTAATAATGTCAGGTAAAGTTTGCCTGTTTTTTAATTATAAAATTAACATGCAAATGTTAGGAAGTGTGCTTCTCTTTTCATCATTTCTCTTCCAAATTCATATTTTTGTAGAAAAAAAGTATGCTATTGCGGATCTTGAAGTTACTGTTGGTGATGAAAAGCATTTGGATGTGTGCGTAATAGCACATAATTGGATTAGTGAAGATGGCGAAAATTGTCTTTATCCTACTTACTTAGCCCCTAAAAAACAAGCCAACGCGACCAAGACATGCATGGAGCCCACTGCAAAATTCAACACCTATCCAGCCATTATTCGTGCTTGGTTTGGTAAGATAATTTCTCTTATTTCTCTTTCTTTGATTTAGATATAATAATGATGAGATAATGTATTCTTTTCTTATTTATCTATATAAGTCTCATTCTTTGGCTATTCCTTTTATTTTTTTTTAATTGTGTTAAAATCCTTTATGAGCTATTTTATTTCTCCGTTTTCATCATACGACAAATATTTCGAGGCTAGTGAATGGCTATAGGATAGAGAGAACTTTCTTATCCTGCCTTTGTCATATGACAAAAACGGATAGATGAATATCACCTTTATTCTTTTTTAGTGACATATGAAGAAGCAAGGAGGAAGTTAGAACGGGCTGTTGATAAAACTGATTTAGAATCTGATGCAAACAAAGAGCAAAATAAGTCAAATCGAGGTTTACGTAAGAGAAAATATTTTACAGATTTGTCATCGTCGGAAGATGAAACCGATAAAAATACGACAAAAGTAAGAAAATCTGATTCTGCTTCACAGAAGGGCAACAGTTTGGTTTTGCCAACACTTACTTTCTCGCCTGAAAAAACTGGTAAATATCTTTATTCATTTTACATATAACTTGTGCTTTTTATCGTAAGGAAAATTTTTATAGGTATCAATGAAATGTCTTCCTTCAATAATTTGTTTTTCGAAACAATAAAAGATTTTTCCATTGCTATTTTGTATTTTACTTGGAGACTGCACTTTAAATGAATTATCATTATTATTACTTTATTTTTGACCTGGTAAAGAATTTCAGGAAAATTAGTGAAAGTTCAATACCCTGCCTGTCACAGTCATGCAAGTAATAAAGACTATTATTTACTTTCAGTTTCATCAGAATCACAAAGCATCAGTGACCAGACCAAACAGAACGGTAATTTGGATGGTGGCTCCATTAAAAATAACATTACTAATTATAAGTCCCATAAGAGCTCTACAGTCTTAACATCTTCTAATGATGTATCAAGAATTTCAAAAACAATGACTGATACGTTCAAGAATATTTCTTTGATCTTAATTGTCTATCACAATCAAGATAAAAGTCAGTTATAAATATATTGTTTGAAGATTTAAATATTTTTTTTCTTCTTTCCTTTATCTAGCATTACCTAGTAAGTCATCACTTAACGTTAATCAACCGGGCTGCAGTAACAGCAAGAAAGAGGGCAACAAGAAATTTCTTAATATTTCTCAGTCAAGCTTCAACAACAGTAGCAAGGAAGAATTAAATAGCAGCAGATCATCTTTCAATGTTTCCAAGTCCAGCACTAATAAAAAGAAACAATTTAGCCAAGATAAAGACAGAAATGACAAAGGTGATGGTAATGACCTATGATAATTTCTTGTAATAATTTTATTTTCACTAATGTTAGTTACACAACAAAAATGAATTTAATTTTTTGCAGGAACTGTAAGCAAGTTTCAAAAAAACATTTCGATGTTAGTAAGTACAGGAACAGAAAAGAAAATTAAGAGAACAGAAAAAGGTATTGACAAAATTAAGTGTCTAATAATCACTTTTTCTTTCATCAATCATTTTTTATTCATTATCTGTTCGTTATTTATATCACAGCAACAACAAATAAATCTCAACGATCTGTTCTCGGAATTGCTGACATTAATGAAAAAGTAGAAAACAATAATGTGCTTATGTTAAGTCCATTGGAAAGTGTTAGAAGCCCCTCAAATTCTAATTCAAATGATGACTTTCTAATTATTAAAAAAGGTGGTAAGTTGTAATGATAACATTTTTCCAACTTTAGTTTTTAGCAGCTTAAATATAAAAAAATACTGTCATGATAACTTTGGATACATGTCTTTTGATCTTATGTCTTATTGTTTCCAGAGAATAATATTTACACTAATTTTGAGAAAACGGACCTTCTAGCAACAAGTTCCCCACGAGAACATGACATTACCTCTGATTCTTTTGAAGATGACGCTAAAGACTCACAATCAGATCATTCTCATGAACAATTTTTTAGTGATGGTGAGATACTGTTTTGTTAATAACTCTTTGAATTTTATCCATAACATTTTTAAGTTAGTAATAATATTCTTCAATAAAACTAATTGATTTACGTTATTTTTAATTACAGACTCCACTAGCAGCAATTCAAACGGCTACTACAAGCACAATACGTGCCAAGCAGATTGATAAACTTTCACCTATTCGTAAATAGTATTTTTTTATTTTAAAGTAAGTAATTCTTATGTAAATTATTTTTAATTCATTTTGTCACTTTACAGAGGTTATGAAACTGCAGTACGAAAAACTGTGTGTAATTGAAAAGACGAACATGAAGCTCCAAACAACAGTTGAAGAAGTACGCCAGCTTTTATTAAATAGGACAGAAGTGCTCCGTCAACCAAAGGGTCTCCCAAGTCTACCCTTCGCAACATTCGAGGATATTAAAATTGCTGAAGATCTTACAAATAGAAACTCTTCCATAAAAGATTACATTGTAAATTGAAAGATATTAGTACCTCTAATGCTAGATTCACACTAGAAGCAGCAAGCGTCAAGCAGCTGAGTAGTAACCAGCGAAGCGATATTTTTTACGCCACTGTAAAAGTGGCGTAAAAAATATCGCTTCGCTGGTTGGTTGCTGCTCCGCTGTTTGACGCTTTTGTTGTGTCCAGTGCGAATCTAATATAACTCAATCATTGTTTTGTTGAAGTATCTTACATTATTTTCTTTAAAAACATTTTTAGATAAAGAAATTAATGTTTGCAAGCTCTGGGAAATGTGAGAAGGATTGCGCAAAGAAAGTTATGGCTCTTCTTATGACAAATCACACGGGAACGTTCTTTAACTGGAAAGGCGGAAAGGGAAAGCAGCCATTTGGGAGCTGGCACTTAAAAGAAACAGTAATCAGTAAAGTAAAATTTAGAAATATCTTTCTTTTACATCGTTTTCTTTCCTGATATTTGTTTCTTGGTATTTTGACACTTCCGTAATTTTGTATTATTTCAGCGGCAGTTAAAAAATTAAGAAGAGACGGACTATTAGATATAGGAAAGGCAGAAAATGGAATAAAAGAGTGGTTAAAAGAAAGATGTTTTAGGAAGAACATGTAATGATTCATAAAATAAATCATTTTGAGACAGCTTTTCTTTTTCATAATAACATATAATAAAATCTTAAAATCTTTAAAAATTACTTTTCATTTTACCTCGATTACAATTCTAATCAAATATCCGTAAACGTTCATTCGAACGTTCGTGGAACGTTAGATGCGGAACGTTCCCTGCGAACGTCAAACGAACGTTCGTATGGTGGCAGGTCCGAACTATTTTCAAACGGTTTAAGTTCGAACGTTCTCAGAACGTTCTTCCGGCGTTCTTGTGCCGGTGGGGTACTGGACTCATCAGTAAGGTATTGTAATGGAAGCCTACCTTAGACGCCTGTTTTAGTTATTAAATCGAGATTCTATATATACAGATATACGCGTATCAAAGCACTTGCGAGAATCTTAACGAATATCTATAGACCTCTGATGGCGGGTCGACGTAGTAATATTCTTCGCAATATATTATTCACAGTAATATATATATATATATATGTGTGTGTTCACTTCCCACCCCCCCACCGCCCAATTTGCGCGCCGAACAATCGTCGGTCTTTAAACGCAATTCTATCTGAAAATACTAATATACATTGAAAATGACCCGATCGGAGTCGAAACGTTTGGAAAACCTCTGGAAACCTCCAATGTACATCGCATATCCTCAATCTTGAAACGCAACTCTAATAAACTGAAATAAATATCCCCTTAATTTACTTGAAATTTAAACGCATTGATTTCGCCCGCGTCATTTAAATATTTATGATAAGGCTCAATAAGTATTCAACTAATAATATAATGAAATAAGGGCAATGAGCCAATTTTCATTAAAATCTTTAAAAACGCCAACATTACGTGATATTCTTCGCAATATATTAGATTGATTTAAAGATTTTAATGAAAATTGGCTCATTGCCCTTATTTCATTATTAGCCCGGTCATATTAGGGGTCAACCTCGGAATGAAAGATAATAAGCTGTAAATTGGCTATATACACACACAAGCATGAACCCATGTCTGTGCGCTCCCCTTCTACCCGAAAATGAGCACACGGACATGAGCTTGCAATTGTGTGTATAACCAGTAGCGTACTACCAGTTTTGCTAGCCACCGACTGATTCGGTGTCGCTACCCATCAACACGGAGTTCTTGGCTGAGTATTCAGGAGCCTTAATGGCTTATTTAATGTACGTAATGTTTTACTTAATGTATGTAAATATTTTCTTGATGTATGTAATATTTTAATTGGAATTAAAAATCTGTTTTATCGACATCGATTAAGTTCGGCCGTCTCTCCAGCATCGCCTTAATACATAGTAAAATACTGAAGAGCATGTTACTTATATAACGTATATTATAGATTTTCAGCATTGGTAGTATATATTATTTATTATATATAAGTAATGCCTCTGGCACAACAGCGCGATGCTCGTCGCATATCGCGTATCGCGCTAGTGTGCCAGAGCTATAAGAATTATATCACCGAATTCACCGATGATTATTAAAACGGTCAACCAAAGCATTTTAACTTTTAACAAAAAAGTCGCTGGAAACACTGAAAACTGTGAAAATCCGGTCGTAATTGAAAAATATCTCATTCTTAAGATCTTAAGATGATCTTGAAATTAGTTGAAAAAAGAATAATCTATAAAATATCAGATGTTTTAATAATGTAAATAATTAAATAAATGTAAATAAAATGTAAATAAAATTAAATAAGTAGTTTAACTAAAATTAAACATATTTTAAACAGTATTTTAAAAACATGTTTTAAACAGGTTTTTTTAAAATATTGTTTAAAACATTTAAAACATTAAAAACATATTTTGAACAAAAAAACATCATGTTTTGTTCTTTAAAAAAAAAAAACATGATTTTTATCAACCCTGATTGTACATCAAATCTGTGTTAATTTGATGATGACATTCTCTCGATCACATAAGGAGGAATTTATATTTTATATGCTGAGGATGACTCCAAAAAAGAGTCGAAACGTTTAGAATTAATGTTTTAATTTACCAATAAACGGATTATATCTCAACAACAATCGAGTTGACTCTCATTTGCCTGTTCTTGGAAACACTTTACATTGTTTTTTTTAAAGAAGAGAGTCCGTAAGAAGATTACATTTTACTGATTTTAAAAAACAAAAGCACTTTCATTACATAACTTGAGATGTGATAACCTAAATCTGCCACAACTTGTCGATTCGCGTAAAGAAGGCACGGCAGTGTCGCTACGTTTGGCTTAGCGCCGAGACACTACCGTGTCTTCAAATCTAATTAAAGATTATATACAACTACTAATTTACTAATTAAAATCACACAAAAGAAAGAAAATTAAACTGCAAAATATAACAAGGAATTAAGATACTCGCACAAAATTGTTTTCTAACTCTTTTACAGTTATATAATATCCTATAGAGAATAGTTTCGTATTTGTAATAAAACTGTAATATGCAATTGCAGTGTATACTGTGATTTTTATTTATCTCGTAAACAAGAGCTATATTATGTCGTCAATATAATAATCTAATAAAATCACATAAATCACATCACATTATTAGCTTTTTATCGGGTGTAAAAAAATACTCACTGAAAATTAATATGTTCTACGAGAACGACTATCTACAAATATTGTCTACATCTTACAAATTTCATAATTAATATTATAAGAATTTTTACATAGATTTCTATTTTCTCCTATTGTATCAATTGTAAAACGTACAATATATAGAAAATTTGCGTGATCACAGTCGCGCAGATACAAAAAATTTTATCATCAATTGCATAGAAAACTGCATGAAAGTTCTCTAATCTAACATATTATAATGCTTAAAATTAAAGAGTGTACTTAAAAATTATTTTCGTATAATTCGCGCACACGCACACACACAATTCTTCGTCTATATAATCGTTAATAAAGACAAATAATAAATAATTCTGTACTATCTTACATTTATTGTTATAGGTTTTCTTTATATTTCGTTATAGTACGAAGATGATTTCTGTATTTTTATTGGCTTAGGTTTTAGCATCAACATCGTGCCGAGTTCCGTCAGGAGCCACTTTGTCGCACGCAGTACCATGAAATGTACTGCGAATTGTAGGATAAGGGCTCCAAATCCTTTGTATAAGCCAAGTGGCCCTTCAGTGGAGATTATTGTGCGGTAACAATCGATCGCGCTGCTATATCCAGTCAATAACGGCGTAACACTTCTTCCAGTGTCCAAGTTGTCGATAATGGTACGTGTTCCCTGCAGATGTAACCGATGAATAACAGTTTCGAGAGGATAAAACACAATATCGGCCACACAAATCGAAACAAGTATAGAGTGTGTCTCTATATCCTGGATGATGCTATCGGATAGCAAGTCCTTACTGTACGCACCCTAAAATAGTATAACATTTCTATATAAAGGTATCTATATCTTTATATCTTTATATCTTTATGTATCTTTACTGCATCTAAACCATTTATGGTAATTCTATAATGTGCTCTTCTTTGGTCAAAAAGGCAAGAGTGGACAAGAGACAAACAGCAAGAAACAGGAAACAAAGAGCACATTGTAGAATTACCATTAGAACCAGATACACACTTTTGCTTCTTGCGAATGTTTATGCCTGACGTGCATAATCCGACTAGTAACCCCTTTCACAATGAGAGTGAAAAGATATTTTGATACTCCGTAAACTATGGTGGGTGGTACAAGAGCATAAATTGGAATGAGTCTGCCCTTATTACATACATCAAGTAGGCGGATTGCACCATCTCGAAAAACGTCCAAGATTCCAGGACATTCAGAAGCAATCTCGGACTGGACAGTTTCCACGAGTGATGCAGAATAAAAGGGAGTAACTATGCCTATGGAGATGCTGTAAAATAGAAGATTATAGATCAATAACTTGTATGAATCAATCTAATATAATAATTACCATTTAATTAATATAATAATTACCATTTGAGGAGTATATGCTGACCGAATGCTTTCATCGAATTGTTATAAGTGATCTTCCTGAAATCAAATATCTAATTTTACGGAGAACACAATTTCACAAATAATTTAAAAGATATCAGCCATTTCGTTTGATAATCGCCTTACTTTTGCCACGGTGTGATTTTTGATATCAGATCCTCGACGGCCATTGTCATTCCTCTAACGAGTAAAACCGAACCGATCCCTTTCCATAGTGTGTTTATACCTTGAGTCTGGTGTAAACGTATCATCACAGGAACTAGAGTTATAGGCATCAGATGATACTTGGATGCACTTGGATTGACTTGGCATTGTCTCCGTAACACCACGAAGGGATGGATCAGTAGATTTCCTGTGATTAAGCTCACCAATCCGCAACCTAATCCAACGTATTTGTTTACGGCGATATCTATAAGTAAATGGTTGAGCAAATTAAGCATATATATATCCAGCAAACACCAACGATGACATTACTGTTAGTTGTAATTTCTTATTCAACAATGATATAACTGTAATATAATATATAACAGTTAAATAATATGTTACAGTATATATTAAAATAATATAGTTAAGTACAAGATTCTTAATTTAAAAATAACAGTTATGTAATTATATAAAATTACATAGATTTTTGATATATAAGTTTCGTTTATCTGAAAAGGGCTGAATCATGTAATGTTAATTTGTAGATCTGTTAAAATAAAGTTTATTTTTTGATTGTAGTATCTCAGTACTTTTATTTAAATATTTGATTAAGCGTTTCTATTTATCAGACTCTTACTAGTCCTTTTGAATTCAAAATAAATTCATGCGAATTACATATATGTTAATTATTTGATCTTTAATAAAGCGTTGGTTGAATTTTATCCCAGCGATTTTATCCATTCTCCTATATAAAAAAACTCATGGGAACCTGAGAAGTTTGCGTTTTCGATCGAAATGTATCGCTCGTATTGTTGACCCTTTTCCGCTCGTGATTGGTGG